GCGCAGAACTCAGAGCTCACTGTCACCAAACCTGCCTTTCTGCAGGCTGTCATTGATGATGGAAACATGGATTTTCTGAGCTCTCCTGACTTGATGCAACATCAGATCAATGTAATCAGTGCCTGTGAGGTCTTGTACACACCTCGGGTATTGTGCACAGCCCCCTTGTTTGCATGGGGTTTTGTAGGCTGGGCACGGGGCTTGCGCGGTCCGGGGGGGGCCCAGGCTGTGAGCAGAGGTGCTGGAGGTGGCTGGCTGTGGCTGTCCTGTGTGTGTGAGGGGACAACAGGCCTGAGGGATCAGCAGAGTTGTTGGCAGAGGACCAGCATTGCCCAAACTGCTTTGCTGGCCTCCCCCACCGTGCCAGTGTACAGCTGTCCCCACAGTCCACGGTCTGAGCTGAGCCACCCCCTGTGCAGAGGGACAAGGAACACAAGGGGGGCAGAGCTGCAGTGCAGGCTGGGTGATGGTGAGGCCTGTGACTGTGCTGTCTGTTTCAGGAATTTCAATTTTGCCGGCCCGGGAGGTGTGCCAGGGGCTCAGTAGCCTGAGCACTGCACCCTGCAGCGTTTGCAGTCAGGGTGCTCACCTCAAAGGAGGACACATACTCTTCCTCTCTGACAAGAGGCACCAGCTCCACCTTCTCCTGTGCTGGGTGAAGCCTCTCTGAATTCCCAGCAGTGGTGTGGCTGAGTAAGGATCAGCCTTACTGCCAGAAACACGGGTGCAGTCCTGCCGTGTCACTCCCTGCTGCTGCTCTCGTGTCGCACCGGCTCTGCCAGCGTTCAGGCTGCATGTTACAGCTTGCTGCTGCTGCAGTGCTGTGCAGAGCTGCTGAACGGGCCTGCTCTTGGGGAAGGATTCCTCATCATGTGAGCGCTGCTGCTGCAGGGGGGCAGAAGGCAGGTGAGATTTGGAGACCCTTGTATGGAAGCATCGCACCCTCGGGTTCAGGCTCCAGAGAGGGTCATGAGTCCTGTCTACCCTTCCCAATCTTGAGGACACTGTCTGCCCCCATTTGTTTTTGTCACACAGTGCCTCAGCTCCGTACTAGTGCTGAAAACAGTTGAACTGTCTCAACAAATGAGCGCTACCCTGGGATGGCAAAATGGCTTTTTGTGCCAGGTGAAGTATAAGATGGGGTCTCTTGTATGCCTGACTCTACCTGAGTGTCCCCTTGCAGAGCTTGGGGGAGACAGGTGAGAGCAGCAAGATGGTTCCTGTCCAAAGACATGTCATTTTGTGCAAGAAATTGTTATAAAATGGGAAATGAGGTAAAAACAATGACAACTGTGAGCATCTTTGTCATGAATCTGTCACTATTGATGTTGCTGGCCGGGAATGCCCAACTCACAGGTGTTGATGAGCTGGACAGCAGGTGCAGACTGAAAAAGGCAGAAGCATAGACTTTGGGGAGGTTGCCCTAGGTTTAGTTTAGGCTTTGTAAGGGCTCACAACTGCAAGCCCCTGGATGACTCCTGCAGAGGTGCCTTGTGCTCCTTTGTTCTCACAGGTGCACCTGCCAGTGTGGACAGCCAGATGGAACATGGTGGTGGTGACAACCTTGAGCTGTTTGGCCAGCCACAGTGACACCAGGGAGGAGGTGAAGGGTCGATGCCCAACAAGAAACCCAGGGCCATGAGCTATAGCAGTGCTTCAGGCTGCATCCTCCAGCCTCCCGCTCTGACGGTGCAGGTCACAAAAGGACACATTTTTCACCAGAGACCGAAACCACATTTTATTTTTGCCACTTCCACACACTCAGGAGGCTGTGCCTGGTCTGTGGTCACACTGGGCCAATCCCCCATCCCTTCTGACTGAGCCTGGACACCTTACCAAGGCACATCCCAGGCCCAGGAGCTGACCCCAGCCCAGAAGCCTCATACGCTGTTGCTTCCAGTTCTGCAGGCTGCCAAAAGCAGGGAGAATTGATCAACAAGAGGAAAGCCTGGGCTGTTAGATGGTTATGCTTTTAGACAGTTATGCTTTGCCTTGCAAGCCAAGGGTGTCTCAATTTGCCAGGAAATGGGTGGGCTCTACTGAGCCCCTGTGAGGGGCCAGGAGCTGGGTTTCCTGGGTGAATGGCATGCACGGAGCCCACAGGAATCACTGGGAGCCTTCCTGTTCAGGCCAGTGGGCTCAGAAACAGGCTTCCATAACCAGCCCCTCTGCATCACCTTGTCCTTCAGCCCTTAAATTTCCCTTATTCCTTTGCAAGCAAGCTTGGATCATAGCGTCTGCCTGCTTCCAGCCCTGGGCATGTTCCTGGCTTACAACAGCAGGGAAGGAGCTTGAGACAAGGCACTCACATGCTGCCTCCAGCGCGGTGGGCGCTGGCCGGTAGGCTTTCCTGAGCTGTACAGGTTTTTCTTTGTTTCACAAAGCTGCAGAACTTATTAAGCTGCTGAAGTCTAGCACAAGCTGAACTCTAAGGAGCCTGTAGTCACACCCACTCCTTTTCCCAGAGGAGTGATGCTGCCTTGCATCTCTCCAGCATGAGCAGAAGGGGCTCGCCTGCTTTCCACCAGCTCACTCGTGCTCAAAGAACTCGTGGCAAGCGGCAGTGACCATGGCAATGAAGGCCACAAACTCCTGGAAGTCGCACTCAGCGTCCCCATCGCTGTCCAGTGCCTCCATGACTTTGTCCACAGTCTCTTGGTCTTTGATTTCCTGAAGGGATAGAAATAGGCAGCCAAAGCTGGGGAGGACCAGAGTGGGACCCAGACAGTAACATGTCCCCCCTTCTCCGGTGCTCTCGTGGCTGAATCTCTGTTCAGACACATCGTTTCCAGTCTGTGTTGGGGCACTGCCCTGTGCCTCTGGGAATTGCAGCCACAGCTGTGCTGCTGGGAAGAGACCTCTTGAGCCCCTTGGGGCGAGGCTGTCTCCCCATCTCAGGGAAGGAAATTTCCCTAGTATCCAACCCACACCCCAGCCTGCCATGCAGGCTGTTGCACTTGTCCTGCTGCTCTGCAGAGCTGGAGCAAATGATTTAGCACCCTGATGTGTGGATAAACCACTTCCCCTGCTCTTGCTCCCCGTGGGAGACAGAGTTAGCGGAGTGCGGAGGCTGCTTAATGCCACCTGAGCCCAGCCAGGCGAGCTGTGAGGAGGACAATACTTACACTGAGGAAATGGGTCAGCTCATTGTTAATGAGCTCCTTCAGTTCTGATTTCTTCAGCTTGTGCTTGTCTCCCTCCTTGCCGGAGTACTGGTGGAAGGCATCGATGATGGCGATCATGCCCTTCTCCAGCTCAGACATGGTAACGGCGTGGCCCTGAGGTCAGAGGGGGCGATCAGGACATTAACCTGGGCAAGCTCCAGCAATTCCTTTTGCTTTGGAAGCACAGCCACCTCGATCAGCAAAACCGGACCCCGTGCTTAAAGCATTCTGCTGGGAAGGACTGACAGAAGCTCTGGCTTCAGGGGAAAAGCTTATGAGAGACTGTGACTCTGTTTTCAGGGGCTCTCGAGAAACGCAGAGCCACAACACGAGGAGAGGGACAGGTAAGGGTTCATTTTGCTCACAGAGCTTCAGAACAGTTTTGCTGTCCCCTCTGTCACAGGCAGCCTCGCCTACGCCTTTGTCTGCAGGCCTGTCTCCAGCCGAGCAGTCAGGGGAACCAGGCAGGAGCCAGTTTTGATGAGTGCCAGTAGGACGAAATAAGCATCTCTCTAACCTCCCTCCTCCCTCACTTGATCTGGTGACCCTCCTGGGACCGATAATCATTGGGATTGCAGCGTTTCCTGTAGATTTCACAAACAGACAGACAAACCAAAAAGGGAGAGATGCAAAACCACCTTCCCAAAAGCTGGGAAAAAAAACTAATGGCACTCTGTTCGTTCATACCCCACAGGTAAAATGTTTCCTGCCCCGTGACCTGGCTCCTGTTTCTCCACCACAAGGCACTGAATCTCATCCCACCGCCTTATTCTCCAGCTGACTTCCTCCCCCATGCAGCAGTCAGTGTCCAAACAGAAGGACTGTTTCCGATCAGGTAGGAAATATTCTCGAAGCACTTCATGCGTGCATTCTAAGAGCCCTTTGCATGCTCACGACCTGCCTCCTTCCCCGTCCGCAAGGCTGAGGAGTGTTTCAGCTCCTCACCGGCTCCGCAGCGCTCGGTGCCCCGGCGCTGCCCCCGCCCGGCATCCCCCGGCCTCTCTCACCTCCCTGCTGCCGGCGGGGCTGTGGCTCAGCGATGGGCGCCCCGGGGCTTCGCTGCCTTCTTATTGCGGAGGCGGGGAGCCCCTGGAGCCAATGGCAGGCGAAGGCGGGGGTGTCCGGGCCGGGCTCCGGGCCCGCAGTGCTGCCCGCAGTGGCGCTGACCCGCGGCCAGCCCACGGCCGTCCACGTGGGAGCCGCTGTGGCCCTTTGTCCCTTCACTGTGCACCCCTGAGACTCGCCCGACCGCGTCTTCTCTGCCCCCTCCCCGTGCCTTTGCGAGGCAATCACGATTGTATCGGGCTCTCAGTGCTTGATGGACAGGGCTGGCGGCAGCAGCCGCCCCTCCCGGATCCCTGCCGGTGTGCCTGCCATACCCCGGCGAAAAGCTGCTTGGAGGGGCCGTGGGTTCTCATACGGCTGTCACTCGTCCAGTGACTGTGACACCACCCTTGTGACTGGGGGGGCAGGAATCTCCTGCCTGCGTGTACCCGCTGTCCGTGTCGCAGCCACGCGGGGGGCTCCCAGGTCCCGGGCCAGCCCCAGCAGCCACCGTTAACCGGCATTATATGCACTTCTGTCTAAACCCAAGAGCTGGAAGTTTCCTTTCCACCAGAGATCTCCCTTTCAGGCTTGTACACAGACCCGATGGAGGTGACGCTGTGTGGGGACTGGCAGGCAGGCCAGCAGGGAAGGAGGATGTGGAGGGCAGTAAGTGACAAACAGCAAGAGCAGCAGGTGACAAACAGCAAGAGCAGCAAGCAGCATCTTTCACCTAGACTGTTCTCGGTGGCACAGGACAAGCAAATGGTTAATAAACACAGAGAACATGCTGAAGAAAGCAAGTTTCACTGTATTTCACTGCGAAGTCACGCTGTTTCCCAGGAATAAGATGGTATGAGCCAAAGTTGAAGCTGTCTGATGTTACTGTTGTGGCATGTTGCCATTTACACCTTTTTCAGTTCAGGACTCGATCTGGCACTCGATCAGTAACTGCTTTATGTCGGAGGCCTTTGCTGGATTTCAGGCTCAGTGTGACTCAGAACGCGGCACTCCTGCTAACTAAGAAGACGGGTGAACAGTGCCCATGATGAAGAGCCCATTTTGTTGCCACACTCAGCTCCTGCAGAGAAATGTGGAAAGGGTAAGAGCCTTATATATATGCTTGGGGGGTGGGATGAAGGTCTGGACCTCTTAAAAAAAAAAAAATTCCCTTTGAAGAGGCAAGACCAGGTTGCTGGACAGACACATTTCCTGGCAGTTCCTGCGTTCCCCAAATCTACTGAGACACCACCTACCATGTTACTTAAAAACTTTTTCATGTACTGGTGTGAAAGAAACCCATCTACATTGATCATTTGTTTACATCAGCTCATGGAAGCTTTTGTAACAGGTTCAAACACTGGTTTGGGAAAAAATAATTTCCCTAGCATTAAGTCTGAGTATGTTGACTCTAAATATTTATCTGGCCCCTGAAATTCTTGCATTTACGGCATTGCAAACTACACCAGTTATCTGTGCTCTGGTTGGACTGTCAGGGACAGCAGGGATGCTTTTAGGCAATGGTGTTTCTAGTGCAGAGGTAGTTTGTCAACAGTCTTGCACTATTTGATTTTTTCCGTGGATATTTGCATTCATGTAAGAGCTGGCTATAAATGGGGCTCTCTGTCAGCAGGAAAGAAACACTATTTTTCTCTGCTGATGGCAATTTGATCTGGTAGATCTGTTAGCTCGGTTCTTAGCCAAGAAATGCATTAAAGCACATAATTTCTAGTCAGAGATGAGGTCCTAGCTCAGCTTCTTTAAACCATTTTCTGATGTCATTCTGGAAAGTGACCTTTCATTAAAATGGAACAGAAAAATTAGCATTTGACAAATCAAAACGCAAACAGTCTTGAAATACCCTTCCCTGATGATTCTTACTGTTCATTTCACCCCCAAATCATTCTGACTTCTCTATTTTACAGGTGTGGTCTGGAATGATCTGCTGATAAGTGGGAAGGAGCAGTAGGATCAGGTAGGAACACCAAAAACCTTGCTCCTTTCCTGACTCTGCTAATGAGCAGCTCCAAGGGACTTCCCTGATCCTTGTCCAGGCTCATATCCTGGCAAACACTGGTCTCCTGGGTCATCCCTGACCCAGCCAGTGACAGTCCAGGAGGTCTGGGCATGGGTGGGGGGCTGTGAGCTGGCTGTGCTTTCAGCCGCTTCTGTTATTTTAAAATTCATGTCCTGATCTTTGATCAGGAGTGTGACCTTGGGGCTCCTTTCCTCAGAGTCAGTGCTTCCTGGCCAGCACTTTGGGCTGATGTGTTTAAAGAAACAAGGGGGTTTTACAGTGCCCAAGGCCGAGCAAAACACTTCAGCCCTCTGCCTGTCTCCCTCTCTGTGGTAAAACACAATGTGGGCTCTTCATACCAGGCTCAGAGAGACAAGCCAGCCTGTTTCTTTGTCTCTCTGATGTGTGTGGCGCCAGGCTCTGCCAGACTAGAGACAAAGGCCAGCAGTCATTGAATTGGGAGAAAAAAGCAATGAAAGCAGTGGAATTTGGGTGGGAGGGTGAAGAAGCTGCTTCTGCCTCTGTAGCACTCACAGTGCCAGCACAGAGAGCAGTGTTGCAGGGAGCAGGTTCCCCAGCTCTGTCCATGGGCACTGAGTCCATGTCTGAAGCTACAAACCCAGCAGCCAGAGGTGAGCTTGTTCCTGGCTGAGCTCAGCTGAGGGCCAGACATAGAAAAACTTGTATAAAAATAATGCTGAGATAACAGCAGTTTGGCAATTATTAAAAATTTTGGAGGCAGGCAGGTTGTATAAAGACAGAAAAATAAATCCAAGAGGTTCATCTTCCACCACAGCCTTTAGACAAACATTACCATAAATTATCTAGAGATTTTGGCATCTGCAAGGAAGTGGAGATGCTTACATGAAGCTCATCTCAGCAGATTCATTACGACAATTCTTTTTGTCTTAAACCAAAAATAAGCCTAGTTTATAAAATAAATACCAAATTAATTCTTTAATTCACAAATAAAATTACTGCATCCTTTCCAAATAATCCCTGAGGTGATGCTGGACATGAGTGAAGAGCTATTTGCTAGCAGAGGAGCAATTTAAATTCGACTTGTAGTGTGCATGATATACTATAAGTATTAAGTATTATAAGTAGTAAGAGACAGGCTTGTTTCTGTCCTGGGATGCTGATGGGTGCCACATTTGGGAGTAGCTCTTTCATCCCTGGGCCCCCTGAGGTCCCTAGGAGTGGCTGTGCCAGGCAGTGCACAGAGGTGGAGGGGGTTTTCCACCAGCTGAGCTTGATCTGGTGTCGCTTCTGTGGCATGAGGGAAGCCAAGTCACTCTGAAAAGCAGCAGAAAGAAATCTTATCACTCCATTTAACAAAGTCCATGATAAATTCGCACCCTCACACATACACAAATTCCCAGCCCTTTCAACACAGCAAGTACAGCATCTCTGGGATTTACACCCCTGTGTGCCTGATGGCGTTTGTAGCTCCTTTTCGGAGCCTTCCTGAGCCGAGGGGCTTTGAAGGGCTAAAAACATGAGCTGGGTACCCAGGTTTGTTATTGCCATTAACGATGGGAACCACTGGCTGGGCTTTGGGGGTGCAGGGAGGTGGGGGCAGTCGCTCTGGGGGTTGGCGCTGTCCCCCAGAGGGACGGGAGGGCTGTCGGGGTGTGCAGTCTCGGGCAAGCAGCGCGGTCCGTGTGGCCGGGTCGGACGTTCAGGACACGGATTCCGCCCCCCCCTCAGCCGGGAATGGCGGGCGGGGCGGGAGGAGCCGTGAAGGGACGGCCGGGGGCGGGGCTTCCGCCCGGCCTCGCGCCCCCATTGGCTGCCGCCCTGTGAGGCGAATGTGGGACTGCAGGTAGCTCCGGCGCGGCCCCGGCGGCGGGAGCGGACCGGGACCGGGACCAGAGAGCGGTGATGGCAGCGGGCCAGCGGGTTTTTGGGTCACGGTGGTGGAATCGGGATTGGGCGCGACGGTGGCGGCGGGCAGCGCGGTCCATGGGTGGAGCGAGCGGTGGCGAACCGCGGCTCAGGGTTGCCCGCGTGTCCCATGGGCGGTTTCGGAGGCGGGGCGGCCCTGCGGCGCTCGGCGGCGGCCACGGAGCTGCCGGCCTGCGCGCTGCGCTGCAAGGTTGGGCGCAAGCGCTGGCTGTCTACCGGGCGAATGGCGATGGCGATGTCGAGAAGCCGCGGGCGCAGAACGGCGCTGGAGCAGCACAGCCTCGGGCTGGACACGGTGCCGAGGGCGCCGGGCGGGGCGCGGGGCCGCTCCCGGGCCCGCCGCCTGAGGTGCCGCTGTCTCCGCGCAGGGCGCGGCGCTACGGGCGCTGCCGGCGGCCGACTCGGCCCGGGAGGCAGCCCGCGGGGATGCGGTACTACGCGCCCCTGCAGGCCGAGGATGGGCACTGGGCGGGCGACTTCCTGCTGCCAGGTAGGCCTGGGGCACCTGCCCGGGGGTGGGTGTGTGCAGTTCGGCTCTGTACAGTGCCGGCCCGTCTGGTCCTCCAGGTCTCCTCATCACCTGCCACACGGCCAAAATCCAGCTGCCGGAGGGGTTCCGGAAGGAGATGATACGTTACCTGCGCTCTGTGCAGCTGCCGGACGGAGGCTGGGGCTTGTGAGTAGCAAAGATGCTTCTTTGAGGGATGGCCTCTCCAAGGTCCAGCACTTGGAGCTGCTGTCAGATGTGCCCAAGCTCAGGGAGGGGGGCTCGGCACCTGTGATAGCTCTGGATGGTTGGACTTGGTTTGTGCAGCACTTCAGGTACTCTGTTTGTCACAGAGATGGCCAGAGCATCAAGTCTGGCCATATCTCCTCTGTGTCACTGTATGCCAAAGCATCGTGTGCGACTGGGTAGTGCAGAACAATGTTTCTTCCTGGATTAGTTGGGTCCCCCTTTTTCACAGTAACCCCTGTCATTCCACTTCACCCTGACACAGACAGCCCTGCGCAGTGGGTTATGCCTGGCTAATGCCAATAGCTGGCTAATGGCCGTGGTGTCTCTGTATATGTGCCTGACAGGCATGTGGAAGACAAATCAACGGTGTTTGGCACAGCACTCAACTACGTAGCACTGAGGATCCTGGGGCTCGGACCGGATGACCCTGACGTCGTGCGGGCCCGTGTCAACCTGCACAGCAAAGGTCAGCCATGGGGCTGGGACACTGGTCAGAGAGGTCTGGCTGGACCTGAGGGCTACATGGAACATGAAGGGCAGCATAGAACATGGGGGGCTGCCAGGTAGTGGAAGTACTGTTGCTCCTGCTTGCCCTTGGTGGCACCTGTGTTTTCAATTAGTGGTGGGAAGCTGTGTTATGTTTCTGTACCATTGCCTGCTTGCCCTGTTTGAGGACGTGTGTCCCAGCCTGAGTAGTGTGTTCCCAAATATGGGGAGAAGTGGGCCCTGTGATGGGGAAGAAAGAAGGGAGCTGGTATGGCTGCGTTAACCCTGTAAGCTGATACTGTTCTCTGCAGGAGGTGCTGTGGGAATCCCTTCCTGGGGCAAGTTCTGGCTGGCTGTCTTGAACGTTTACAGCTGGGAGGGAATGAACACGCTTCTCCCAGAGATGTGGTATGTGCCCCCCTCGCTGTGGAGGGAGGAGATGTTGTCAGTCCTACCGCCAGCCTCGACCCAGAACTGTCTCAGGCACTGGTGTTTGCTGGGATAACTCCAGCTATGGTCTGGAACTAGAGGTGGTCAGGCTGCTTGTCAGCTGGGAGCCAGCAGCAGGCCGGCCAGTGGGTGGATAGCACTGAACACTGCACCCAAGGGAGGTGCCAGAGCTCAGCCCAATTAGCATTACCCACAGGATCCCTGATACATCTGTGCGCTCCCTGCCTGTCACCAGTATCTTCTGGCCAGCCAGAACTGGGCCTTTAGCAGAGGGGACAGCCACATGTAAGGCTACCAACCCTAACCCTCACTTGTACCCTCTCTGGGCCTCTCAGAGGGCTGCTGGGTGTCAGAGAGGGAAAGTGTGTGACATTACCTCTGGGGGAAATCAGGGGCTGCACAGGACCAAGGGCTGCTGGTGCTTTGTCATCAAATGCCAGTAGCTGTCAGTCTGGGCCTCTGCCTTCAAAGTCCCACATGACTGAACTGGCTTCTCCCCTCCCTCTTCTCTGAGCTCAAGGTCCTCCTTGCCCTCTGTCATCTGGGCCAGGAGCAGTGTCTGCTGGCCCTGGTGTGGAGGGAGCACCCCTGCTGGGGGGATCTCAGCAGGATCAGGCTGTGTTTATATCCCCTGGTGCAGGGGACAGGAAAAGGTGTGCCCTGCTCTGGGAATTCCACACACCATCTCTCCGTGTTGCCCTAGGCCCTCCTTGTTCCTCACAACCTTCTCTGTTGCAATCAGGCTGCTTCCCACGTGGTTCCCAGCCCACCCATCCCGGCTCTGGTGTCACTGCCGCCAGGTTTACCTTCCCATGAGCTACTGTTACGCCAAGCGTTTGTCAGCAGAAGAGGATGAGCTCATACGGAGCCTGAGGCAGGTAAGGAAGGAGCTGATCCTCCTGGGCAAGGATACATGGCTCCACGACTGCCTGCTGCGCTTGGCCATGTCCTTGTGCGCCGGCCTCTGGCTTGCGAAGCGGCATCTCTTATCCCTGCGTGGTCACTCTGTCAGACAGCAGAGTAACTGCTCCTGGGTGCTTGCTCCCAGCTTTCCAGGCTGATGGCCTGTGTTGTCTCGTGCCAGGAGCTGTACGTGCAGGACTATGCCAGCATAGACTGGCCAGCGCAGAGGAACAACGTGGCTGCCTGTGACGTGTACACCCCGCACAGCTGGCTGCTGGGCGCTGCCTACGGTGAGCGCGGGGGGCCCTGTCCCCTGCCACTCTCTGCTGCTGCTCGTGCAGCTGAACCTGCCTTGCACCATGGGGGCTCTTCAGGGTCTGCTGGCAGCTACTGCTGTACGCTCTGGAGACATGGATTATGTGATCCATGGACTTCTCCCTCCCTGAGAGCATCAGGGCCTTGTGCCCAGATCCTCGGGCTGCTCTGGGGCAGAGCAGTTCTGTGCTTCCCTCAACTGGTCGTGGT